TAACAATTGATGAGTTTCGAACGTCAAAGGTAAAGCGTTATTCTCTAATTTTGAATATCCTACTTAACTATCTATAGATCTGCAACTCTTGTGAAAATATGGCGTTCACATCTGCTTTTGTAAACTTACACGGCATCCAATCCTGCACAGGATGTGGATTGCTTTGGCAACGGGATATAAACGCTTCAAAAAATATTTTCAAGATCGCCAATGGCATCCTTCGTGGATGTGGCAGACCTCCAGCATTTTGTCGCCGTATCGAACACGATTCTCCTTCTGGAGTTTAGACATTTACTCCTAGTACGAAGTGGATTGTTATGACAACACAATTAAAACATCTTTATCAATAAATACTTGCAACGTCCTTTTATTTAAATACATATTCTTTATACAGAAAAAGAGAGAGAGAGACACGCACGAGAAAGAAAGAGAGGCTAGATTTGGATATAATATCATTTCGTGTTACACGAGTAAAAGCTGTTGGTAGAAAAACTGTTGGTTTGCTATTTGTTTCCTCTTTTCAGGACTATCTCCACTTTAATGGCTATATTTAGGAAGCTAACAGAAAAGGCTGCTGCTATTGATGTCTTTCCAAAAGTTGAAGATGATAATCAGAATAGAAGTGAACGAGGTGGTTTGCTTACTTTGATTGTGGCATTCTGTTTGATACTCTTGACATTGAATGAACTATCAGAGTAAAAAAAAAAAAAGAAAAGATAGGCAACATAGTAATTATATACACCATAGTTACCGCAAGATTCGAACAAAGTACCAATTTCTAGTAGATTCAACCATTGATACCAAAATGCAAATCAACATAGACACGACGATTGCTATGCCTTGTCCAAGCAAGTATCATGTATATAGATCGTATGGACATATTTTGACTCCTTTTTATCAGATATACTCATCCACGTTGTTGACGCAACTGGACAAAGAACGGAGCTTACGGATCAATTTAAGCGTATTCCTGTAATATATAAATCATACCTATGGAAAGGACAGAAAACTTATTCTGTTTTATTTATATAGACTGAATTTACGGCGGGCTCTGCAACCAAATACAAGTAAAAGATAGCCATCAATGACCTTGACCATATGAACCAACTTTATGTTAGGGCTCCAGATGATCCCAAGTATATTCAAGAAATCATTCGTGCAGCTAGTGGAAAATCTTATGATTATCAAGTAGCCAGTAAGGAAAAGTGTTGTTTGTTTCTTAACAATAACTCAATTATTATGCTGTAGAGGATATGGGCGCATGTAGAGTATATGGTTCATTGAACGTGAATAAGGTTGCATCAAATCTTCACATCACATCTGATGGACATGGATATGGTAAAAAAAAAGAATGGAATCAGATTGAGCAATGATATTCACCTTTTTATATGATAGCAAGTAGAATGCATACAAGTCATGATGGTAAATGAGAGCATAAACTATATATGCTGCATGTACTAATGTTTATATTTTAGTATTGAACTTTACTCATCGCATCGATGAGTTTTCTTTTGGTCAGCTTTATCCTAATTTGATTAATCCACTTGATAACAGTGTAGAAATCGCAGAAACACGTAAGGTTTATAAGCAACGATAAAGTAAGTGTCAATTAAAGCATCATTTTTTAGATTTCGAAGTATTCCAATACACAATGTCTGTGGTAAGTGTTGAATGACAAGATAAGAAAGAGACGGTCGATGTGACACTTGTTGATAGGTGCCAACAACTTTTATTGATCGAACAGGCAAAGTTTTACAAACAAATCAGTATGCTGTCACTGATTCCCATAAGATCTTTCAAGATGGTCAGGCAGTGCCAGGTATATTTTTCAAGTATGAATTAGAACCTATTTCAGTACAGATAAGTGAAGAACGTCAATCGTCATTCTTGCATTTTATTGTCAGATTATGTGGTATTCTTGGTGGATCTGTCGTAACAGTGGGTGCAGTCTATAGAACCATCAACTTTATACTCACAGGGGGCAAAGAGAGCTCAAAGCTGTTGAACTTGTACTAAATTTAAGAATAAAGAGTTATATGCTTGTGCCTTTTATTTGTTTTTTATGTGAGAACATGATGCATAAGGTATAATGTCAGTAGAAAAAACTGTTATGTACACATATGAGAAAAACAGGGAGAGAGTGAAAAGATGATGACGATGATGCTTAAAGTGTTCCCAAGACAGATGAAAGGCCTACAATGAATATTCCTAAAAAGAAGAACAAGAGAATATAGCGTTGCTCCATATCCGCTCTGATAGCTTGAGGCAGCATGCTCTATATAAGAATATATCAGTAAACACGTGAATGTATGTTGCTTCATGATATACCTGAATCGTGATCAAAGACATCATACCGCTTATACAAGCAAAGATAGCACCAAAGAGCACGTCTTCCTTTGATTTACTAATATTTTTCACAAGCAATAATCCAACGAGTGCACCCAGTGGCTGTGATAATCCACCCATCAAGGAAGCAGCGCTAAATGCAATCATTCTGGATCGTGTCGCATAATACAAGGGCAGGGCAATCATAAATCCTTCAGTCAAGTTGTGAATAGACAGAGCGATAGAGACACTTAAACCGAGTGCAGAAGAGGCCTTGGTTGAAACAAACATGATGAGTCCCTCTATAGATATGATTGGTTATGGATTCATAGGTACCATGTTGCGCCTCATAGTTACCTGGAAATTTGTGCACACAGATGGCAATAGCTGTTTGAATACCCATGCTAAGGTAATGTTTGGGATCATTACCAACAACGTTCTCGATAGGATCATGATGATGATGATGGTGATGGTGACTATGTTCATGGGCACTATCTTCGTTTTGAGCATCGTTATTACCTTGATAATCTTCGTAATGCAATATAAAGTGAGATTCGCTTGATCTCATGGTGCCGTATTCTGCATCACAGCGGTGTTTACTGAGTTTACGTCTCTCATCGTGAGAGTGGTTATCATTGTCCTGGCATGAATCAGAAGCATCTCCGCAAGCATGGATGGCATCCGGCATTAGATAATGAATCAGTTTGGTGAGTAGTAAGGTAAAGGTAGCTCCAGCAAAGTAACATGCATAAAGTAAGGCGTCATTTTGAAGTCGTTTCTGTGCTTGAGGAAACATGATTGACAATGAAGAAAATAGCAAGACACCAGATGCTAAAGACATGGAAGATGCCATAAAAGCACGACTATCTAATAATGATCTATGAAATAATATATCGATAAATACAATAGAAGCTATAAATAATAATGAATACTTGTTTTTACAGCAATAATCAATTTAACTACCTCCTATTATGCAAGCAATAGATGATACAATCACACCTAACCAAGCCTCTAAGTTGTTATTTTCCGTTGTAAACATTAAATAAAGAAGAAAATAAAAATAAAAAAAGAGAGAGAGTGATTTTATTATTTAAGGTCAACCGCAAGCAAAGCAATGAATAAACAAACAACAACGCAAACATGTCTCTTTATATTAAAACCAAAAATTTTGTGACGCCGTTTCAAACCAAAAATTTTTCAGAAAATTTCGACTCCCCTTAATAATCTTATTCTTCCTTCTTGCGTAAAGGCTTCTTTTTCCTTGAGATGCTTGAATCGGCCAATTTTCGCTTTTTAAATACAACTTGTTCAGTTGAATCATCAATACTGATCGCATTTGTTGGATATTCTTTTTCTTTTAATTTGAATGCATTCAAATCTTCTTCATTAATTCCTTCATCATCGTCTTGAAATTCGGGAGCTTGATCATGTGTTGATCTTTGTTGCTGTTGATCATCACGCTTGGTTGTACCAGGTTCAGATTTAGGAGGTGTCATTGGTGTTACAACTTCCCATTCTCCAACCTTTGCTACATCCTTACTAACCGCCCATTCTTCACGTCCTTCTACCTTTTGTTCTATTACTGCCGGATTACGTAATTCTTCAATGGTGGGTACATAATAGTTCGCGCCATAACCATACGCACCAGTACTGGTTGATGTTCTGCTCACTCGACTGGCACTAGGTTTATTGACTGTGGTCATTGAAGAAGAAGTACTACTACTACTCAAGTGTTTTGGTCCATCTTTCATGCTGATACTTAATAATGCAGCCTAAAAGATATATAAGTCAAACATATATATTACTTCACTTTTCATTGGCCTATAATTTACTTGCTCTATTCTCTGTAATTCTTTTCTAACACTCTCCTGTTGTTCCTTTTCTTCTCGTCCTTTCTTGTATACATTTCTCAAGAATCTCTCAACTTGAGCTTTATGTGCAGTACCATTTTCGTGAAGTGAAATTGACTATAGACATGTTATTAAAGGGCAATATAATGACTAGATTAGCTTACAGGTTTGTTATTAGCAACAAACTTTTTACAATATTTACACCAATGCTTCTGCTGTGATACCCAGTAATCAGCCCTAGATTAAGAAAGATAATAGATTAGCATATTGGCATGATTTAACATTTATAGATTTTACATTATAAGTTCTATATTACAGTCAGAAAAAAAAATATCTTTCCGAAAATGGTTCAATGATTTACATTTGAGAGAGAGAGAACCAAACACAGTCTCAGAGCAGGGCAAATACAAAAACGCGATAATGAACCATTTAAGCTTCATCAAGCATAAAACATTATTGAAGCAATTAACTGAATGCTAAAAGATTTCAATTAACTTATTTAGTCCCAAATATCACAATGTGATTCAAGTTGACCCTTTATGAAATCATTTAAGCATCTATCAAGATATACAGTTTTCTCTTTTCCTGAGAATGCGATGGAATAATTGAATGGAGTGATTGGCAGCATAAGCTTATTAAATTAAGAATTACTTAACCATGTATATGCTTATTCTTCTTCCAAAAAAAA